GAGAGAGAGAGAGAGAGAGAGAGAGAGAGAGAGAGAGAGAGAGAGAGAGAGGGGGTGGGGGAGAAAGAGAGAGACAGAGAAAAGAGGAAGATAGAGAAAGAGAAAAAGAAAAGAGAGACAGGTAGACAGATAGACAGAGAGAAAGAGAATGGGTAAAGGAGATTGCAAAAGATATCTACCTGGCGATGCACACAAAAAATGTACAACTTTTTTTAAAATATCTCACTCCAAATTTGCTCTAGAATTTGGAACAGTCATAATTCATTCAAAGGGAGAAACTTGTTTTCGAAAACAGAAATGGTTTTCATTGTTAAAAAAACCTATAAACACAAAATGCACCAATTCAAAAGACTTTGTAGTTTAAAGAAAATCATGAAATTATTGGTTTAGGTTGTTTTTTTTTACTTCTTTTTCTTTTTGAACTCTAAGCTTTCCATTCCTGTAACATTTAAATAATAATATTTTCTCTTTTCTGTTACAGAGCTTTCTTTTTTTAAAATTCAATTCTGGAAATCTGAGAACTAGTGCTCTATATTTCCTCCTATAAATTCATCACATTTTAACGCGTTGTTCGTTATGTTCAGCGGTGGCCAAACACAAAGATCCACCTGACCGTGAGTACTCAAAGCTACCCACACTGTACACCTTACAATATGGAGTAGCTTCTAGAAACAGTGGGGTTGCGGATGAGGTTGCCCAGATATTCATTCGTGAAGTTAACATATTATTTTTATCCTGAAATGTGAATATGGGCTTTGCCAAGGAATCAAAAGTGATATAGGGATGTTCACGCTTTTCAAGACGATCGAGGAATGATGAACACATTGCCATCCTCTGAGTCATGTCACGAACAGGAAAATAGTAAAGTCGTAGAAGAAATTCTGTCTTGAAAATGCGGGGGTTGAGATGTAGGAAAGTCCAAACTGCAGATATCATCTACGGACAGACATCTCATAGGGCTCATCTTCCAATAATGCCCCCTGGTGATGTTTAAAGGGATGCAAGCGATGTCTGTGTGATCTGCAGTGGTTGTTTTGTCTGGGATTTTTTTTCTCATTCTCTACAGGTCCTAACCGGACATCAAAAAAGGCACTGAAGGCCCTTTAACATTGTTATCTTTGTTGTTGTTCGTCCTTCGCATATGAAGATGACCATGACTTCACAAATTGGTCTGTTGACGGTTACTGTGAGTGCGGAGATGGCTGAATAGTCCTATCTGGGCTCGAAAGGTTCGCCCACATTGTGGGCACGGGTAGTCTGCTGTTGGACTCTTGGTGAAGGCAGGTCTAGACTTGCGCACGTTGTGTTTTTGTTTGGCCTCGGCGATGCGCTTGGCTTCTGCTGCTTTGGCTCCCTTCGTTAGCTTGCAGCGCCACGAGGGACGATCTTGAGCCAACATTTCCCACGAGTCGTTCAGGATTCCAAGTTCCTTGAGGGAGATTTTGAGGCAGTCCTTGAAACGTTTTTTCTGCCCCCCCCCCCCCCCCTGCCATGGAGCAGCTCTCTATACATCAGCTGTTTGAGCAACCTGCTGTCCGCCATTCTGATCACGTGGCTGGCCCATCTGGCTCGCGTTTGGTGGAGGATGGTGCAGATGCTGGGGGTTCCGGCTCGCTCTAAAACAGCAGTGTCTGGGGCTTTGTCCTGCCATCGGATCCGGAGGATTTTACGAAGACAGCTCAGGTGCGTAACGCTACAAAAATGAGGACATATCTAGATATGGGTTGTCCATATTTTATGTTCTATGTAGAACAAAACTGTTTTGTGGAATTATCGAAAATGAATATCAGACAAATTCCTTTTCACTTCCAAAATGTTGTGTACAAATTTCAAACGCAAAACTTCTATGTGGAGAAAAACATTAACAAAAGCTGGTGTAGATTTGTTTTTCGTTGGATTTTTTTTACTCTGCATGTTTAAAAAGGTCTTTCTAACTTTTTGTTCTACTTTTCTATAGACGCGCCCCAACTTTCTGCCAAACCATCCTCCAAATTTCTTTAAGAAAATCAAATGTAAAAGTCCATTTCCAATAAGACCTCATGTCTTTTTATCTGTAAGTTGTTGTTTTTTAAGCAATGAAAAAAGATTACCCTACGGCTATCCGTGC